TTCTCTCTTTCACTCAAATATGAGAAATGTTAACATCACTCATTCTGTTATTATTCATTATTTAACTTGTAGACTCTATTTAAATGATATATTATTAATTAAATAAAAAATAAGATATTAAAATTCACATGTCAAATAATGAATAAAAAAATAATAAAAAGAGTGGCGTTAATAATTCTACTCAAATATATATAAAAAAGAAAGAGTAATATATATATATATATACACACACATAGCTAGCTAGGGTTAAAAAGTCAAAATCTTTTTATGAATGATAAGTACGTACAGTAAGCTGACTCGAGCCTTGTGCTCTAAAGCAGTAGATCGGGCCAATGGTCTGCGCGAAGAGGGTCTTACATCGTTTGTGGATCTGGCCTACTACTCTCAAAGAAACTATATTTTCTCTGTCTTAATATATATATATATATGTCTGTCAGGTAAATCGTAGCCTAATTAGTCTACATGATGATATATCTTCCAGCTCACTCTCTCCCCCTTGCTCAGCCCATCAACTGTACGATAATACATCCCTACTTTACAAATTATTATTATTTTTCATATCCAATTTTTACAACAAATAATTACAATTTGATTGTTTATAATAGAGGGAAAACTTATCCATTTCGACCAGCTAGCTATAGAAAACCAAAGAAAAAACATTTTCATGTGTGTGTGCTTATTAGATGAAACTAAAGAAAGAGAGTTAAAGTGTATATATATATATATATGTATGTATGTATATGTGTATATTATAACGCCAACCAACAAAAAAAAAAAGAACAGGAAATAAAAAGAATACACTTGGATTGCTGGAAGGAATGCAATCTTGATGACAATCCCAAAGTTATAACAACCAATTTTTTATTTAATAAAGAAAAAAGAACACACACACACACACACACAAAAACCACACAGAGAAAGAGAACAAGACAAGAACTATTGGGCAATTGAGGTGAAGAAAGTCAGAAATATTTACAAAAATGTCTGTAAAGGTTCCAAGGCGCAAGAGTACTTAAGCACTGAATATACTGTAGGTTGCTGGCTTTATGTTTCACTTAACAAGGCTAAAAGAAAAATCTCAATTTTTGACTTTTAAAGGTCTCTCAATTTGTTGATTCAATCTCTCTCTGCTTGGGAGCCTCGCATCACGAGATTACTATAGATTTATAATATCATGGAATGTGCATCCTCCTACTCTTAGTACATGTATGTATATATGTATTTTGATCATCTATCTAATTTTTGCTATTCAAATGACATATGTAACCAACTATATATAGTATGTCACGTAATTTAATGGACTCGGATATACAAAAATATAAAAAGGTCAATTAAAAAGCATTTTAAGTTTTACAATAATGTGATAGAAAATGATTAGTTAAATACATTTGAGACATCACAATAAAGAGAAATCTAAATTCATGTATATATATGATTACACACACACACACACATATATATATATGTATATATATATATATATATATCTTGACCGAGTCTTTTAGAGCATGGCATCATAATTGGTTATGGACGTGTGTGATGTATATCCCCTGGAATTATTTTGTCCCTCACAAGAGGGAATTCATAATAATACTTGTAGGAAGCGCTTTTTAACATCGAGAGACTACTATCATAGTTAGTACTGTATACAGTCAGTGATCATGTCAACATGTTGACACTTGCCCCGTTACCTGTGCAATATATATCTAATAAATATGTATATTATATATACACACATACACACATTGAGTCAAGTAAATCTAACCCTTCACGCAGATGACGAACCACATATTTGCAGCAGAAATGAAACAGATGATCATGTATGCGAATTTAATTGGGACATGTACTTCATTAAAAAGAACTTTTTTTTTTTAAAATCCCAGTACAGTTTAATATTTTGTCTCACTAATATATAATGTGTGCCAGAAAGAGCTTTAAAAGAAAAAGGAAAGAATGAATAAACAAAGTATTTATATTAACTCGTGTGTTAATTAGTACTCTTTTAAGGGCTTTAAAGCTTCACATCTCAGGGAGAAGTGGTTGATCATCCAGGGAGGATATTGAGGTGAGACAAATAATAAAAAAAAATATATAGAATTTTAGGGAGGTATAATCCAAATTTTATAAAATTTTATATACAAAATTAAAATAAGACTTTCATTTGTGGGTGGCTTCACTTCTATCCACAATCTATTATATATACATATTATTCTATTTGAAGAATGCAAGCTTGTTGGCGGAGGTATGGTTTAAATTTTGAATAGGCCATTTGCGATGGTCTGTAAAAGGCCAGCAAACTTTACTACTTTCTTTTTCTCCGTTTACGAACACATTTAATGTTTTGCATACGAGTTACACAGGACCCCATTCCCATTTGTGATTCAATGAAAAACGCTTTTTCTTGGGGAAGAGGAAAAAACATATAGGGGCTTTAAATGATCAATGGATAGTGATGGGTTCTGATTTCTGTAACAACTAAAATTCGAGGCAAGAAACAAGAAAAGAAAAATTCTCGTTAAATTCTAAATAAAAAAAGGCTAAAGGAAAAAAAAAAAAAAAGACGAACATTATTATATAAGGGAATTGGCAACTATCTTTTTCTCCGAAATTAGGGTAGCTTTAAAAAAAATTGTAACGAAAACCCTAGAGATCTGTGGATGGGAATGAATAGGCGTGGGAAAAAGATTCTAACCAAATTAGCAAAAGTAAGCCAAAAAAGAAAGAAATTTAGGAAAGGACAAAGGTGGTAAGAATGGGCGAAGTCTGCCCACTGGGATGGTTTTTACTGACTTAAATACGTATCTGTCTGTGCGTAAGACGAGGGAGATTGAGTGGTCAAATCAGTTAAAAGTAAAAAATAAAAATAAAAAATAAAAGACACCTTCATGTATACTACATACAACATAATAAAACATAACAGAAGTGAGGTATAATTAGAAATATTTATGTATTATGCATATATAATTGTTTTTAAGTAGAGGAGCAATTACATATATTAACTTATTAGAAGTACAATTAAATTTTTTACAAAACTTTAGAAGCGTGAGATTGATGTAGCTCCACCAGTACTAAATATGTATCAATTACAATTGTATCGTTTAACTCACCACAAGTTCACCTATCAATATCCTTCGATGACATTTAGAATTTTTCGTTCATATATTGTTGCAGGTAATCTATGATATACACCCAATATTTAGTACCTCACTAGCGTTGTACTTCTCTTTTCATCAGAAAACTAGAGTACACCACCAATATTAGATTCGAGAATACACTCAAAACACTACTAGCTTCTTTATATTCTTATTTTGAGTGATCCTTTTAAAAATTCCTCGGCTCAACCCATGTTGTATATTTTAACAAACCAATTTGTACCCAAATTATATTTTAAATTGCATGCGCCAAAACCACATTTATTTACATTGAAACTGTTCACCTATGAAAGGGTATTAAGAAGATTTTGTGGTAAAGATCATGAATATTGGAATTGAGCATTTTTTTACTTGGAAGAATTGTTTGATAGGGTGTGCAATAATTTTACTTTATCAAATCACCTGAATATTATATATATTAAAAAATGTAACACTTTAACAAAATTTAACTAAATTTTAATAGTTTAAAAATGTGTTAGTATCCAATGGTAACGTATTGAATTATATTAGAGAAATGGAAAAAACTTTGATACGCAGGGTATGCAAAAATATCTTATCAATTGAATACAATTTTTAACTATTAAGTCCAATTTGTTAGATTATCCAAAAGTTGGAATACTTTATTTAATCGGATGTATATCTGATTTGATTTGATAATTAAAAGATGTAACTAAATTTAGTTTGATAGTTAAAAACTATCATATCGATAGAATACTATTTTCATATCCTATTGTAATACTACCCTATCACAAAGCTCCTCTCTATGGTTTTAGAAGTATACGAATTTATTGTACCGGCTATTTATTATATGAAAAATTCTAAGTATGAAATAAAAAGTATTCTAATAGTATGACACAATTCTAAGGGGACGTTTGGAAAGGGGATTCATGCCATGATTTAAATCATAGTTCGTGGCTCGTTACAGTATTTTCTCTCACAAAAAATACATGTAAAACGAGAATAATTCTGAATCGTGGTTCTGAATCCATGAACCAAACGTCCCCTAAATTATTAAATCACATTAAAATTATATCAAGTTAAAAAAAAGGGTACCCATTAATAGGTTTGCATACCCCACGTACTACAACTTAAATTCTCTTTATTGCATACATTGTACTATAGAGTTTCCCATAATTTTTTTTTTTTTTAAAAAATAAAAACTTTTGGTTGAGAATTTCCTTACAAAATATACTTTTCATTAAAGCGCTAGCATTAGAAGATAGAATTGATTTGACTGATGTATGAGTGTACGCATGATTAGGTTATTATGGTGTTTTTTGTTTGGGTTTGAAGGCCAGAGGGAGAGAGCCCTAAGGAGCCGGAGAGGGGGGCGGAGGGTGGGAGCAATAGGGCTTATTGTCCGGGAGATTGAAAGAAGAACCGTAGGATGTCTTCGGGGTTCGGAAATTGAGGCAAACAAAATTTCTTTAAAAAAAAAAAAAAAGCTTTTGAGTTTGAGAACCACACCACAAGACAACACCCTCTTTAACTTCTGAAAACAACAGGTGAGTGTGTGAAAGCTATATCACCCCCATGCACAAGTCCCTTTCTGGCTCCTCTCCCCCACATCTGCCGCCTCTCTCTCTCTCTCCAATGAGCATCGGGAATGCCAACCACACATGTTATTATCTCTTATACTTAACACTATGTGCGTATGTTAGACTAGATATATTTAATATATCTATGTACATACACACACACACACACACGGTTATATGCAATATATAGTACATATGATATGGATGGATGTGCATGCATATATCATACATTTTATAATGTCAACATGCATGCATGCCAATGCATATATACATTCATGTGAATGACCTATAAACCACGCCAATAAACAGAGGCAAGAGAGAAAGAGAGTTTTCTCCATATCTCTGCGGCCTTTCTCACTAATGCCTCCCTCTTAAACCTACTAGACCAAATAGATCACCCCGTCCTGTTTTTCTCTCTCTCTTTTGCTACCTTTCTTTCACACAACTCGTTATCAAAGGGCCAACAAAATTTAAAAAAAAAAAAAAACAAAGCAGATCCAAGGTGGTGGTTAAGCTGTCATTCCCATCAATCAATCAATCAATCAAAAACAAGACCAATCATCAATCAGAGTGTGTGTGTGTGTGTTTTTTTTTTCTTTACTTTTCTTTCTATCTCTCTTTTGTTTATAAAAGAAAAGAGGAATCAAGTCCAAAAAAAATGTCATCCTCTTCTGCTTCAACATTGTCGCTGGACCACCTCCCTCCTTCCGAGCAACTCTGTTATGTCCATTGCAACATTTGCGACACTGTCCTTGCGGTATAATTCTTGCTTCATCGTATCCTTGTTTCTGATTTAGCCCCTCCTTTAATTAGCCCGTTTTATCACCACTCAAATCTTTTGCTTCATAATTTTTTGTTTTTTTTAAATAAATATTTCTAGGGTTTATATATATAACACAGATATATATTTTTATATATTTGGTGTTTATATGATGATGCTGTATTGTTGTAGGTGAGTGTTCCTTGTACCAGTTTGTTCAAGACAGTCACCGTTAGATGTGGGCACTGCACCAATCTGCTTCCTGTGAACATGCGTGGCTTGCTTCTGCCATCGGCTAATCAGTTTCATCTGGGTCACTCTTTCTTCACTCCTTCTCATCATAATCTCCTGGTATATACATATTATCATATATCCATGGCCATGGAACACTTTGGTCTCATTATTATGCTATTTTTTGTTTATCTACAAATTAACTTATCAGTGAACTAATTATATGAGTATGAATATTTATCTTGACACACACACACACACACACACACACATATATAATATATAATCGGTACATATTGTACTTTGATGATGCAGGAAGAGATTCCAAACCCAACCCCAAACTTTCTGATGAATCAAACAAACATGACTGACTTTGCTGTACCGCCTAGAGGAGTAGCTCATGATCATGAACTTTCAAGGCCTCCTGTTATTAACAGACGTACGTTACATTCCTCTGCCATACACATACACACATATGTGTGTCTGTATATATATATATATACATATATATCAAATTATCTTCTTTAATAAGTTTCTGGGAGATCCCGGGTTTAGAATATGGTTGAGACTTTTGTTTTATTTTTCTTTTTTATACTACTTTGATTAAAAAAACAAAAACAAAATCAAAATCAAATTCAGCGTTCCATCTCTAATGCTGAAAATTTTTAGCCAAAACCAAATTTCTTGTGCCTCAGAACCTTTATCTTGAGCCCTTAGTTTGAGCACCAAGAGACTTTGAAACAAAAAGTGGGTCGATCAAGATCTTTCGTTTGTGGTGTATGAAGGAGAATGATAATAACAGATCTTTCACTTTTTTTTTTCACTTCTTCCATAAGGAGAGTGGTACATTTTAAACTTAACTTGCATGCCATCGAGATATTTCTTTGAGAAGACAAATCTGCCTAATGCAATTTGCACCATATATACTTTTCTTCAACTTTTTACGTGAAGAACTTGTTTGATTTGCTAACTAACTAGCTCTAGCTTACTGAAATCTAGACTATAATCTTGGAGGAAAAAGATTATTGTTGGCCTTTATTTGTATACATGTATCTGGACCTTTTCTTCGAACAAGATGAGGTGCATGATCCGATCCCCCGAAAATATAGAGATGGTGAAACTTGGGACCATATATTCTTCTTTCTTCCACAACTATATAGTCAGTGTTTTTATTTTTTATTTTTTTAAAAAAAGTGTGAGATGCAACTCTAGTGATGTATACAAAGACTTAGAGATCATGTACATAGAAAAGATGACATTGAATTGACGGTTCTAGGCAGAGAGAGAGAGAGAGAGAGAGAGAGAGAGAGAGAGAGAGAGAGAGAGAGAGAGAGAGAGAGAGAGAGAGAGAGAGAGAGAGCGAGAGATGGGTGTGGGGTTGGGGAAGCAGAAATGCACTAAAAGTTAGCAATTTGATTCTTTAATATGTGTCTGAATTAACTGTCTATCTCTGTGCCAATATTGTCTCAGCCCCGGAGAAGAGACAGAGAGTCCCCTCCGCATACAATCGTTTCATCAAGTGAGTAATCATAACCTGCACATATGTATGTATGTATGTATAAGTCTTTCAAAAAGATTCTCTCTCTCTCACACTATATATTTATAATGTTATGTATATGTATATGTATATATATATATATTATATACTTCATTGTTCTGCTAAAACTGAAGCGAAATGTGAATCAACCATTATATGTTTTTTTGCAGGGACGAGATCCAACGCATCAAGTCAGTAAACCCTGATATCTCCCACAGAGAAGCCTTCAGTGCAGCTGCTAAGAATGTAACATCAATAATGCCTTTCTCTCACCAAAACAAACTTTTTATTAGTCTATAATATATTAGTACCAGTCCCTCTTTACCAAAATAGGGTTTCGTTTTCTTTTTTCTTCTTTTTTCTTGCCCGTTTTCCTAAAGAAAAGAAAAAAGGTATTCTTTATATCCTATTTATACAATGATAAAAGGCTAGCTAGCTATAAGTATTAACATTGATTTTTTTTTTTTTTTGGTGGGGGTCTTTTGAAATGTGTAACTTGTTTTGTTTTGTCTCTGTCAGTGGGCTCACTTTCCACACATTCACTTTGGTCTCATGCCTGATCAGTCTGCGAATAAGAAGACAAACGTTCGCCAGGTAATTGCCTAAGTTATGTGTTGCTAGTACCACCTTGTTTGTTAGGACAAACTTACATTTTATTCAAAGAAATTGAACATCAACCATACATAATGTAATCACATCCAAACAAGTCACATAATTCGCTAGATACATAGTGGGCTACTTTGTTCCCCTCTGGAGGAATGCAGCAAACAGAGCCACTATGCGCGAGGCTAATAAATTTTCTAATAGTATAAATAATATCAGCTTATGGAGATGGCATCGACCATTCTTCCTAATTAGTATCTCTTTCGATCCATCTAGTTCATTTTGAATATCCATATTGAAACTACTATTTAACGATAATATTCTTTTTTTTTTTTTTTTTTTTTTTTTTTTTTTTTTTTTTTGCTGTTTGAATATTTGTATAGGAAGGAGAGGACGTTCTGATGAAAGATGCAGGGTTTTTCGCTTCGGCTAATCATGTTGGTGTTGCCCCTTACTAATCAAGGAGTACTACATATATGAAGTTCGTTGTGACTTTGAAGTGATGATGATCTTACCAAGACCAACCAATATGGATAATATAATATAATATGGTAGTAGAAGAGGCTTTTAATTTTAATCTAATTAATGTCGATACCTGCCTAGAACATAAGCTTCTAGATCTTTTATCCCTAAATTCCGCTGAACAAGGACCTTTTGTGTTTCAAGACTTTTCATCTTTTATTATGCTAAGCTATGAGTACAATGCTCACTTATGTACGTAGTCGATGCTAATTAATTATCAATTAACTAGATATAAGCTATATTAATTACGTACCTTTTTTTTTCTTATGTTGCTAGATATATATTGTCCTCAATACTTAAAAAAAGAATATATATATTTATATATATATGCTTCCTTTATAGTTTGTGTGTTCATTATTAATTCTACATTTATAGAATGAAGTGAACTAGGTTAATTAAGTTGTCCTTCAGGTTATGCCGTCTTGGGATAATTTTCATGAAATTATTTGATAGCCGGAAATTAAGTATAGGCTATTTTATTAGATGGTAAATATGTGCCTCAATTTGTATATTCTTATTAGTATCTTTTCATCTCATACGAAGCAGCTGGGAGATCTATCATTTAGAAATGGACACACAATTCGGCCTATGAAAAATATTAAAGGAAGTTTAATTTTATTTTTATGCCTCAACAATATATAATTGGTTCTCTCAGTTAATTTCAGTTTTTACAAGTTGTAGAAAAGACGTACATCAACTAAAGAAACACAGATTTTGGTAATCGAACATATTATAAGGTTTGTTTATGTTGATCGCTTGTTGAATTTTTTTTTTTTTTTAAAAGAAAATTATGACTGACTTCACTTAATCACTATGCAATTAACACACATTGTAAAATAAAAATTCAAATCACTTCTAAAATTTAGAAAGACTTTTTCGAATTTGTATTATTGTTTAGGTGAGAAATACTGTTTGCATGTATACATATAAATTGATTTTATGTATATATTAGTTTAACATAAAATATTTTAGATCACATCACAAAGAAGTAACTTTTAAGACTAACTTTGAATATTGGAAGGATGAAACTAAGGAGAAGAGAATATATAGCTTCTCACTTAACTTAAATGACCCTTAATGACTTACAAGGAAGAGGCTGCAACAAAACCTGAGGACTAAAGAGAGTTTGAGAGTCAAAAACTGTCATGACCGAGAAATTTGTTGAAGAAATTATTATATAAGATAAATTTTTTTTGAAATTCTTAATATTATAACTATTTATACTTTTATGATAAGTATTTATTGATATTGAATAACAAAGTACAAGTTAAAAGTAAGAAATTTCTAAACTATGATACAACTACCGAATTTCACACTGTAATCAAGAAAGAGGCATGTAACGTTGTGTTATTCTCACAAGGGGACAAATACATGAATATTAAGTTTAAAAAAAGAAAAAGAATTGAAAAACATCAATTCTAGAGTTTTAGAAACAATCAGAACGAAGAACGGACGAAAAAAGGGTTCGAAAGGCCGAACCGAGAAAATTAGGATTTTTGACCGATTAGGGTTGATTGAGTCAAAATTTATTGGCCAAGAGTCAGCATATAGGTCACTCTTGAAAAGTTAGTTAAGGTTGAGTAAAGTTGACCATCAACTGTCCAAAAAATGCGGGTAAAATGCGAACTGGATAAGAATTAAACTGAACCGAAATAAGATAGTTATTAACAATGAATGGTTGAGATTTAAAGTGATTAATGGATGGAGGGCTGAGATTAGGACACTTGGAAGGGAAGAGAGTGGCCGGCCAAGTTTTAAGGTGAAAGCAAGTGAGATATTTTGATGATTTTGTAAAAAAGACCCTAGAAAATGTCAAAATTGTACTTAGGTCCCTCATGTTTTTTGTGGCCGGTTTTAGAAGGGAAAATACAAGAAAAATGTCCATTTTCATGCAAGAAAACATAGAGAACTCAGCCAAAAAAAGAGCGGAAATTTTTTTTTCCCAAAGTGAGAAAATCGAGTTCAAATCGAAATCGGCGGAAAACTACTATTGATTAGCGTCACCGGAACTTATTATTCATTCTTCTAAGGTAAAATTTTAATTTTTCTCCTTTTCTACCATGGCAGAAAGTAAAGAAACATATAATATGATACTGCAGATGTAGGTGTGCGCACCGAACTGCAATATCATATTATGTGTTCCTTTATTTTCTGTACTTTATTCTACTCGAGTAACTGAACATAATTAACCCGGATCTTAATTAATTAAGTCATATTCCAGACAGTGTTTGGTATGAGGATTCGTGTCATGGTTCGTGGCTCACTACAATATTTTCTCTCACAAAGAACAGACGTAAACTGAGAATGGTTCTGAATCATGGTTTTGAATCCATAAACCAAATGTCCACTTAATGCCAATAATGAAAAATAATCGAGGACCGATCCAGTACAAAAGACTATATTGAACTGACAACAATAATTAAGATATTACAGCTAGGGGTGATATTAATATTATAGTTAACTTTTTTTCTAGTTTATTAATCTGATCATGATTTAATTAACAACATTTTCATGAACCTTGTTTGCAAATGACATGACAATTGATCTATGGGTGTTCATTGAATTTACCAATTCGATCAATGTGGATAATCCAATTTATTATTGTGGATTGAATAGGATTAAAAGAATTTTAGATCGGTAACGAATTGAGATTTTTTCCCGATCTGTAAAAAGAAATTGGATTGTGGGTTGAACATCTCTCAATCCGCATAATTCACCAATCCGAACTATATATATTATAATTTTATGTGTATATATATTATGTATAGAATGTCAATACTATTTTAATTTTATGTTATATTTGTGTTTAATTTTGTTATTAATTTTATGACAATTATTTTTTTTTAAAAAAAAGAGATGGAATAAATGAGTCAAGCTTCAAAATATAGGTGAATCCTCGAATCTGTAGTACCCATTGAGGATTGGATTAGATTGGATTGAGAATTTAACAGATTAGTAATGAATTTAGATTTTTCATTCTGTAATATCAGATTGGATTGTAGATTGACCCCTAATCCGCACAATCCAATATGCGAACACCCAACTAAATCATGAACTAAAATAAATTTGTGAGTAGCGTGTGTGTGTGTGTGTGTGTGTGTGGCTGTCTATTCTAAAATGATCAGAAGCTGGACATTTTATTTTTGTTTTCTTTAACGTTCTAATTTAAAACAAGGCATACGAAGGTCGCTGCACGAAGCGGTGTGCCTCATCACTTTTGTCAGTGGGTCATTGCTTCGGTGTATTTGCATATAAATAGTGAAAATAATTGTTTGGAATTTCTTCAAAAATGGCAATCCCAATCTCAAGGAACATTTGTCCTGAGAATGACTCAGTTTTCTTTAACGATGAATGAAATTTAATTTCACGCTACATGTAGTAGTTACGAATTTAGTCAAGAAAAATGGCTGAAGTTCACGAGTTCATAATTAGTCATCTTGCTGAAAATTTCTGGTCCAATATAATTGGGATTCCTCTATTCACTTGGGTAAATTTCTTTTTATAAGTTAGTCAAATTTGTTGTACTTTATAATCTTTATTAAGTTTATTAGGGTTTAATGCATTTCATATCCGTGGATGTGTAACATTTTGCAAATTAAAGGAAGTAATGAATCAAAAGTTCTGCAATTTCCACCCCTAATTAGTCTTCTTTAGCTCAAGATTAACTTTCATTCCATTTAAATAAGTGTTTATATATTTTCTCTGCCATATATAATATCACTGGGCTTCCTCCACACAAAAATGTAGAATTAAATTCATAATACCTTCCTTATATATACCAATTACCTATGATTTCTCAGCAAGCACCTGATGTATATATAAGACTTTCATGCATGTTAATTGTAATGAAAAACATTGTTAATTAGTAAATCACGTGAAAATTATCCAAAAATGGGTCATAAGTACTAATAGGGCAGTGAAGACAGCATATATATATATATATATATATATATATATATGACTGATCAACTGTTGAAGTGTCACATCGATCATGAGCTAACAATATTTTATGTACGGTAGTAACTAAATCTCCTATGATAACAGTGAAAGAAAATTGGAAATAGTAGCGCTTGGTTCCAATTACTTGCTTTTTTGGTCGGTTTAATTAAGGACATTTCATAAACTGAATTATGTGCCTCCAATGTGGGAGCTAAGCG